GGGGTCTCCCAAGTGCCAATTAAGCACTCTAACCACTAGGCCATACTGGCTTGCGGCCTATACCAGGCAGCCTTCCCCAACCTGGCTTCCTTCTCTGCTTGTCCAAGCAGAGGGCTCTGAACCAGGAAGGAGTGCTGGGAGACCCTTTTATCCAGGGTTTATCCAGAAGGAAGGCTCTTTATGGGAGAAAGAAAAAACCCAACTGTAGCTGGCGAAGCCACACTGAACTCCTCCATCTCTCCCCAGACCTTGCCTGGGTTGCCAGCTTCCACGCAGCGCCAGCATAGTCAACACTTTGATAACTAATCATCCTTATTTGAATCTGCCTCGAATGCAGCCACTTTTCGCTGTACAGCAACAGACACTCCTCCCCTTCGCAATGAGCACACACGCAACCTCATCCTTTGATTTTAATAGGTTTTTTTACAATATATCTCTGCATTTGCATATATCCACTGCATCAATATATTTTAATACATGTTAAACCAAACAAGAATAAATCTATGGGGTTGATTTTAATCATCTTCAACCAAAATACCCCCCACCCGCCCCAGTGATTAAATTGTGTGAAGCCAAAGAAAACAAACCCGTAAGAAAATTAAATAGCCACCCCTTTGAGCATGGAGATTGAAAAACAGAAGTGCTAGGGTGATGGGGTTTTCTCAACATGTCAGGTGCAATTTAACACACAAAATCTTTGCTAGAGGCACACGATGCTCTCCCCCACACACCCCCTCCATCGGTACAGTTTGGATGGCCCGGCTGGTGCACTTTCAGGCCCGCTACGCAGTCCGGCACGCTGCAAAGTGCACCAGCAAGGGACAGGCCCTGTGCGAGATCCTAGCCGCCTCTTCATGCTGTCATCCTGGGTAAAATGAAGAGAGTACTTCCGACATGTGCGGAGGAGAAATGCCCAAGCAACCAAGGCAAGGCTATGGCAGAAGCCGACTCCATCCCTGGCCCGGCGAGTTCCGTGGAGAGTGGCTGGCAAAGGGCCTTTCGTTGGCTCCAGAATTCCTGCCGAACGCGGCGACCGACAGGCATGATCCTGCGGTCGTTCTACATGCCTACGATTCGGTAAAAAAGCAAAACTAGACGCCAGACAGAGACTGAAGGAAGAGAAAGCCACGGCAGGGCGGATTCGGAGGTTCTGTACCTGCCGCGTCCCTGAAGACGGTTCAGGTGCTTTCCGTTTTGGTTTGGTTTAAAATAGGCAGCGAGAGTGGGGGCGGGGGGGGGAGAGAAAATGTGGTAGTTTCAGGTGTGTTTGTGATGGACTCCCCCCCTCCCGCCCCTGGATCCCCTGTGCCCCCTTTAGCTACTCACAAATTAAGACAGGCTTTGGAAAATGCCCACCGCTGGGGAGAAATCTGTCCTGCTTCTCCCTCGATATGCTCGGAAGACGACACGCAGCCGTGCTTAGAAAAGGAAACACCTCCCACGACCCCGGCCTCAGAGGAGACCTGGCAATGTGGAGTCGCGCATGCGAGGGGGTGGGCGCAGGCTATGGCTCGACAGGCCTGAGGGCGAGAAGCGGCACCATGTGCACTGGAGGCCTTCCGACGGGGATGTTCCCCGTCGTCAAAAGGGATGCCCTGCCCGACTGTGATCCTGCCAAAGCTGGCGAGGCCCGCATCCCTTTCCAATCGTCCTCAAGTGCTCAAATGTGGGCACCGCCTCCCTGCTTCCCCCAAACACGCTCCCCCCACAGCCCTCCTCTGGGGTTCTGATCGCCGCTCGCCGTGGTGGCGAAGACACGGCTGCCTTTCCAGAAGGCAGTGGCCTTCTGCATACAGCAAAGCAGACCGCCGCCGCCGGAACCGGCCTACGCGGATGGGCTCCCTTACTGCTGGCTAGTCCAGGCCCGTCTCTCTGCAGAACCTGGGAAATGCTTGAGCAGCAAGTCTCCTGCAATCAGACAGCTCGGGGCACAGGGCACCCGCCAGCTTCCATCCTCCACATCTGAGCAGCTGGCCTGGCACCCCCCCCCCCCCCCCCCCGGAAAGGGGGAAAGAGGAGTCGGACAGAAAACCCACCGCTTTACGGCACCCTCCAGCTGCAGGCGGGGCTGTGTGGTGGTGGTGTCACCCCACCTTGGAAGAGGTGAATGCGCTCCTTTCCTTGTTAGCCCACGGCGACAGTGTCCAGCATCCAGGCCACGAGTCCACAGCCCTATACGGGAAACCACGGCTAACGCTCAGCAGCCACGTGCTCCCCCTACTCCGAGAATTTCTGCCGTCCCCCCTCCTTCTATTCCCTCCTCAGCCAAATCAGCTGAAGCTGCTGCTACGAACGGCCCTCCAGGAGGCAGGGGAGGCAGCTTACTGTCCTGCCGTGCTTGGGAAAATCCCCGTGGCCTCTTCTGGCAGTCCCGACCAAGCTGACGTGGCGATGCAGCCCGCTCACAGCCAACACGCCACTCTGCAGTGCGGTGCTCAGCCGGCTCGTGATTCAGGATGCGGGGAGGGCGAGACCCCTTTCTCATCCCCTCCAGCCCATCTTTCCCTTTCCTTCTGATATTCAAAGAACGTAAATACTGTTCCACAGACATGCTACAATAGAAGCTCATATATGACTCTAGGTGAGGCGAGAGGCGCTCCGGATCTGCGCCGTTTCCTGGGAGGTGTGCGCTTGTCTGTCTTTTTAAAGAATCTACGCTGGGGCAGAAGGAAGGAAGAAGGTCGATAGTCAGTCGGCTGGCAGCAGAGTGGATGTACACGGAAGCAGAAGAGTCCCTCTCGTCCTACGGTCCCTGATCCGAGGGAAGACGCACACGCCAAGGCTCCGAGGTGCCGCCCGCCCTCCATCCCAAGCCACAGGAGCCACGGTTAAACATTCCAGGGGCTCGTGGATTTGTTGGGATAGTTAATGGCCAGGCTTATAGCAGCAATGTTCTTCAGGGCCTGCATGGAAAGAGAGAGGGGAGGCTTGCTGGGCAAACGTCTTACACTTGCTCTCAAGGAGCCTGCCCCGAGCCCCTGGCTGGGCTGGCTTCCAGGCCCGATCCAAAGCGCTGCTGCAGACCTGGAAAACCTTCAAGGAACTAGGGGCACAGTGCTAGCATGGCCTCCTGCTCCCCCAGGAACCTCTGGCTGGTCATCACCGGACCTCCTCCAGGGGATGCCAGGCAGGGGGCGAGCAGAGAGCTTTCTGCGGAACTCTCCACGGAGCGACGGCCGGTCGGCATTGGCGTGCGGCACCGTGGCCAAACGGTCAGAGGTGGAACGATACGGTAGCAGCCCTGATCGCCAGGGGCAGCTGAGCTCCAGACGTGCCTGCACCGCTGGTTCTGCCTCCTTGGCTGGGTTTGCTGCCAGCTTGGGGCAAGGGCCACTTGGCACGCAGGCGCTTCCAGATCTACTCCCAGGTGCCATTTCCAGGTGAGGCCAGGGTTCGCCCACCTGACGCCCCAGAGAGCCACGCCTATCATATCAGAGGGGGCAGTGCCGGCTAGACAGCGCGGGCCTGCATCACTACAGGGCAGTGCCCCCTGCACGGGGCGGGGGGAGCTGCTCGGGGGCCACTCTGCGTACGGTTTTTCGCAACCCAGCTGTATCTGAGAAATAGGAAAACCACCCGCATGCAGACCGTTTCCTCCACCCCCGAGCCGTGCCCCAGTAGCTCTGCAAGGGCCAAGCAGCCCCCGCCCTGGAGCCAGCAAGCTGCCTTCACAGTCACCAGGGCTCGAATCAAGCTGTGTGTGTGTGTTGGGTGGGGGAAGAACTGGGAAGCTTGTGCGGGTGCCAAGCCAAGCTGCCTTGCAAGCATCCCTTTTGGTTCTTTGGACAGAGAGGGAGCAGCTGCATTCAGCTGGAAAACGCTGAGCCGCCATCAACTGGGGATGATGGGAGCTGTGGTTTAGCAGCTGGAGGTATCACGCTGGAAAGGCTGATGCAGCCAGGCCTCAAGCAAATTGGTGCATACGCTGGTTTTGCAAGGACAACATGAGATCAGCGGCAGCAAATTTCCCTCCTTCCTCTCCAAGGAGACAGCGCCATCCCTGAAAAGAACCTGCCTGCCTGGCCATCACCCGGCCGCAGGCCACACGGCGGAGCAACCTGGGACGGGTAAACGGGCTGTGGGCTATTTGGACACGGGTGCAAGCGGCCAGCAAGGGTGGTGTGCAGTGGCACGAAAGGCATGCCTGTCAAAAGAAATTGGCCAAGGCGGTACAGGGACAGGTCCTTGCCGGCTGAGGCTGCAGGCGCTTGAGAGAGGACGTGCTCTGCCTCCTTTGATCACAGGGGCTCGGCTGGTGAGGAAGCGGCATTTCCGCGGGCACGGCTGCTACCCGCCACCCCTCGCAATGGCAGCCTTCGGTGGAGGGACGGGCGGGGGGGAAGCGGGCGCAGCAGGTGTATTTACCTGTGCTGTGCAGCGGTGGAGATGGTCTTCCGTATTTAAGGCAAGCAAGTAATCCTGCTGAGATCCGAGTTCCTGCGAGAGAGAAAAGGGGAATGAGAAGCAAAGCCCAGATACATGTTTCTGAGGAGAAAGGAAGCATGCACGGTGCCACAGGGACTGAAAATGAAGCCTCGCAATGCAAGGACTTTGGTTTGTGTTTGTGCTAAAGCCGGCCAAAGTGTCCATCCAGGGCATCCCCCAGGAAAAAGCGTTATCCCAGGCTGCTGCCTGCTGCTGCCTTCTGCATACCGCACCCAGAAAAGCAAGCGCGAAAGAAGCGCGAACAAGGGGAGGGAAGGAAGGAGAGAGGGGGAGAAACATGGTCTTCCCTGTTTGTCTGCAAACTCTTCCCAGTGCCAGGCAGATGCACGCTGCTTACCCGGACTCTGCCCTCAGTCACGAAGAAGAGCTCAGTGAGCGCCCGGTGCAGTGGGAGCAGGATGCCCGGCTTGGTGACGTCTTGGCGCATGTTGTTTTCCATGCAGCTGAAGAGGTGCCACAGCGGCTTCAGCAAGGTGAGGTCGCAGCCCCTGAAAGGAGGGGATGGGAGGCTGGAATTAACTAGGAGGGTGGCTGTGCCGGGAAAGAGCTGCGCTCCCTGGCCGTCTCGCTGCTCATGCTCCGGTACCCTGCACTGTCTCAAGCTCCTGTTTGGGAAGAGCCATGCTTAGGTACCTCAATGGTGAGGCTGCAGTTAGGATACTGTGCACAGTTCCCGTTTCTGCACCCAAACCGAGGATACCCTCGAGAAGAAGAAAGTGCAGGAAGGGCAGCGAGAACAATCAGGGGCCTGGAGGAACAGCCCTGTGAAGAAAGCATCTGCAGCAGGGCCTCTCTGCCTTAGAGAAAGGCAGCTGAGAGGAAGCCTGATTGCGATGCACAGCATTATTCCTGGGGTGGAGGGGGAATGCTTGGACCCCAAGGGGTTCCTCTCACGAACATAAAACAATTTGATGAGGAAAAGTGCTCAGAACCACAAGCTATTATTTCGTTTGAAACGCTCAGACTTTGAAAAAAAATCATGGGGGTGGGAAACTTGCCTTCTGTGGACGCGTAAGGACTAGCAGCTTGCACAAACACAACCAAACGGGGCTCACCTCTCGCTGGAGCGCTGCACTATCTTCAGGAGCAGGTGAATGGCCTTCAGCCGCTGGTGGCCGGTCTGTCGGCAAGCCACACCCACCTGCCACTCCCACACCTTGGCCATCGGGATGTGGGGAACGACCCCTTCTTCAGACAGCATTTGCTTCAGGATCTCAAACCCTGAAAGTCAGCAAGAGTACTGCGCATTTTCTTCCATGCCATCTTAGCTTGGGCATTTTTCTCCCCTTTTAACCATGGTTTGTAAAAAAAAAACCCAAACAAACCTCAACCTTTCCCTGGATGGTGCCTGACGGCACCGCAACTCCAGAGTCTCCTGGCACATCAGAAGGGCACCAGGTTGGAGGAAAAGGATCTAACGGATTCCAGCCAAAGATTCAAACTGGTTTCAGACCGGAAGTGCTTGAACTCCCCAGCAAAAGTTAAAGCAAGAAAAGGCAGAGAAAGCGAAAGAGCAAACCCACCAGGAAGGGAAAAGCAGGGCAAAGTTCTGAGCCTGAGCCTTTTTTATGCATTCAAGGCAGACTTCTCCAGATGTGTTACCCTCCAGGTGTTACACTGCAAAGCCAACAGCTGGCTGAGGAGCACCAGCACAGAAGCCCAGCCAGTGGCCAAGTTGCGCAGTTGTCACAGCCTCCGATGAAGCAATGCTGAGGGGCACTGACCTGTCTGGAAACGCCCCAGGTGACCTGCCAACACCGTGAACTTGTAGCCCCACTCGGTGTTGCTCATGTCAGTGATGAACCGATAGTAGAGCGTGTCTCCTGCCAGAGAGGGAGGGAAAAGCTCCTCGTGAGAGAACAGCTGGCACAAAGAGCAACTCTCCGCAGACTTCCAGGACAGAACGTCTTGTTCTGATGCAGGGATCCCCATCCAAGGCTCCGGCAGGAGCTTGGGCTAAAACCTGCCGGTGGATATCTGTGCTTGTGAAGGGCTGTCAAGCCATCACTGGCATAGTCAGAGCCTCTGAACGGGTGTCCTCCAAAATGCCCAGCCCTTGACAGCCCTGCTCAGCTCATGCCAATGCATGGCTGCGCTTCCTTGATGGAATCCACCCATCTCCTCTTCATCTTCCCTAGCATGAGCACTCCTGCTAAGTCAGCCACCTCGGGCTTTAGTTTCAGAAGACAATGAAGCCCGAGGCATATTTTGAAGCAAAATTAATCCAGCGCATTTATTCGGAAGGGCAAACCTCAAGACCAGAGGGCTAATCCAGTGCTCCTGACAGAGCCATGTTCCATCACCTGGCTACCTGCTCGGAGGTTTCCCAGCCTCTCTGATGTCCCCCACCTCCAACACCCCTTTTAAAAGCATATTGTTGGCCCTGTGGCCCAAGAGCTTCCACAAAACAGAAGCCAGTGCCTGGGATTAAAGATGCCCCATGCTGTTGCATTAAGTGATGGACTAGAGCAGCCCCGGGGGACTTTTTCCAGGTAGGAGCCATATTCTTCTGGGGGCCACATGCTAGCAACACGTGGGGCTGGAAGCCAATGCTAGCCAAAGCCACCCCCTCTCCTTCCCCTCCACCACTCACAGCCGCCCCAGCTCCCATCCTCTCCCACCCTAACAGGGAGCCAGGAAGTGACTGGCCGCTTTCAAATGACTTCTGAGCTTAGGCTGAGGGTTTATCGTGTGCATCCAGAGGTTCAGAAGCATCCACTGCTTCCTGCCTGGTAAATGTTGGAAGGTGAAAACAGTCACCCTGGTGGTTCTGAAGAGCCTTAAAATCAACCACTTACTAAGTGATCATTATAATGAATAGAGGAAAGAGCGCTTCAAAATCTTCTCACAAAGGGGTTTTTGAAAAGGTAAATTGTAAGACAAAATGGGATTCTGGTCCTCAAGATGCTGACATGCCCGCTACTTCCACAGCTAATACAATTTTCAGCAGGCAGCATGTTCTGAACCAAGGCAGGTTTTGGTGGAGCTCCCTGCGCTGACGGCTCTCCCCATCGTAATGCTAAGGAGGGGAATGCTCGCAGCGCAGGACAAGGTATCCCACATTTTTTGCTGTCTACCAGGTTTGGGGAACAAAGTGCATGAATTTTAGGGAGGGGGAGAAGGGAGTAGGTTAAAAATCAGACCTCCCCCCACCTCCTGCCACTTGGAGGCACCCATTCATTGAAAATAATCCAGTACGCAAAAGCATACAAGGCGGCGTTTGGAAAGGGGCCCCCAAAGAGACCCCCCATTATTTCCAGCCTGAGGCCCAGAGGAATGCCAGGCACTATCTCTGAACACAGATCGGGGGAAGCTGTGAGAAGGCGAGTGGCTGGGGCCTGGCCGGGGTGAGGGGGTGTCCCGCCCACTCCTCTGCAGCACATGCTTGGGCCTCTGGCTGAAGGCTGCCCAGAGCTGCAGCTTGGCTGGCAGCTGCCTGATGGCCAGGCAGTGCCCATGCCAAATGGTGAAGGGGCGATGGTGCCAGCATGCCCACCAAGGGCCACTGGCCACCTTGGCCACCCTCCTGTTCAGCTACTGCCCAGCCAAGCGAAATGTCCTTGCCCTGGACCTCTGTATCCCAGTCGCTGTGAAGCAACTGCAGGGGAAGGCAATCCCCCTCACCCCACTCCGCTTGCGGGTGCGACAGGAGCACTGGCCAGCCCCTCTCGGAAACAGGAAGCAGGGCTGGGGGGACTTTGCTCTGCTCTTCGCAGCTCCGGTGGACCAGCAGAGCATTCTCCCCACCGGGTGCCATCCAAGACATGGGGTGGCTCCCCGAAGCCACTGCCCGCTGAACTCCCGCTGCGGCAAGGTCTCCCTGCCCACTGCCAACAGAAGGCAGCCGGGCCGTTACCTGGAAGCTCGAAGTCTGTCCACTTGTGTGGAGGCCCGCTGAAGGTGTGCCGATCGTGGACGAAGTCGCAGCTGCTGGCCACGAGCAGCTCGTCACACCCCTCTTCCGTGTTGCACTGCGCGTCGAACTTGACCGAGAGGTAGATCGCTCCGGGGATGTGCACTTTATCCTGCAGAAGGGAGCATGTGAACACGGCCGGGAGCGCGCCCACGCCTGCCCTGAAGACGGCTGCTGCGGGTTGGGGATGAAGGGGCAGGCAGGGGCAAGCAATGCAGCAACCGAGCGCTGAAGTCACTCTTCTCCAGAGGCCTTGGAATGCAACCCCCATCAGCCCCAGCTTGGACTTGCCAATGGCTAGGAATGCTGGGTGCTGTGGCCCAAAGTCTCCTGAAGGTGCAAGGCTGTGGAAGGCCATTCCAAAGACAGTCTGCTGGAGAACTGTGGCTTGCACTCCAGTTGGAGGCCCACTAAGCCACCGGTGACCATGTGCAACCCGGCTGGGCCACGAGCCCAAGAATACATTTCACTGCCAGGGAAAACGTGTCGGAAAACAGGAGCCAAGATCAGTACAGCACCACTTTCAACCGGAACCAAACTCCAAGGAGCCCGTATAAAGTGTGGACCTGTGCAGTTCTAACCTGAAAGCCACCCTACAGAGTCACCTGCCCTGGCGGCTGTGTCTCTGTGAGCACTGCGTCACTGGAGATGTTCTAGTTTACCCCCAAAAACTCCAGACCTCCTCCTCCTCCTCCTCCGCTGCCATCAGTATCTCTCAGTCAATCATCTCCTAATACCCACATCTCTGTAGGCTATTTTGCAAAAACTGCAAGCGTCTTTCTCTAAGGTGGAGCTTTGCAAGTTATTTTCACTCATCTCAGAATTCCCGGGGACACGTTTCCTTACAATGCACAACTCTGGGGGCAAAATGTGCAAAAGTGCAAATAGTGAGGCGTAACTGCTGTCTGTCCATGTTTTTGTTTGGGACATGGGGATCAAGTAAGGTCAGAGTAAATGAATTTCTCCTCCAACCTTGTTTCCCTCACTTGTGTTTGCTGAAATGTAGGTGTCCTCTAATATTACAGAAAAGGCATGGTACACTTTTATTTACCATTGATGTTTAGGCTGCTATTGTGTACAGACTAAATCAGAGAACAGGGGAAAATGATATAAATTTCATTCTAAAGAGCAGCTGCACATCAAGTTTCCTGAAAATTAAGGAAAGGGCAGTGAAAACAGGCAGATCTTCACATCTTCCCAGAAGTTTTGCAAAGGAGGCACCTGATGAACTTGCTGATGGAAGCTCATTCCAGAGGTGAGGGGGCATCACTGGAAAGCCCTGGCCCTTGCCCCCCTTTCCACCCTCGGTGTCAGCCAGCTGAGGCGGATCTGGGCCAGTGAGCGGGGGGCAGCTGGGACTGGAGAACGGGATCTGCCCAGTAAGATGGTCTGCCTTCCACTGCGAACCCCTTGCCATGATGGTCAGCTCAATTCCACACACCCGATGTCAAGCCCACTGAGCATGGACCAACCTCAAAGTTCGTGTTGTTGTTGTACGGGTGCTTGGACTCGCGTACTTGGACGGCCACCCCCGGCTCTTCCATGAACTGGCAGGCTGTGAGCGCCATGGTGGCGAGCATGCTCCCACGGCACCCACGGAGCACTTTCAGGAGAATCTGCGGGAGGAAAAGCAGGGGCGGGGCAGAGAGGCCCAACCCGGATTATTGCTTCAATCCCACCAGGACGCCAATAGGCCTGAGAGCAATAAAACGGCAGGCAGGCATCACAAATCCTTGCAAGAAGGAAGCTGAAGAAGCAGGCCAGTGCAGCAGACTGCTGCTCACTATCACCGCTTAGGAACACCAGTAAGGCCTGGTCCCTTTACAACCTGGAACAATTTAGGCTGCTTTGAACACGTGAACTTAAGGACCACATGCAACAGGGCCTTCTTAGTGGTTGCATCCAGGCTCTGGAAATCCTTGCTGAGGAGGTTAAGTTGGTGTCTTCCTCTTCGCAGGCAAAGGGATTTTTACTCCAGGAGGCCTTTGGCATGAAAGCTGGTCTGTGGAATAGCTCTTTTTAATTCTTTGTGCTTGTTGTGTGGTTAATATTTTGGCCATTATGTCAATTTTAATTCGCCACCGTGAGCAGTTTTTGGTGAGTAAACCAAACAAGAGGTCAAGGCACCTCTTCTTTGGGGTTGGGTTGCAGACAGGGGTTCATGCAATCACAGAACACTCTCCCATCAATGCTTGCTGGCTTAACCATGGTTAAGGCTAAATCCATAACCAGAAACCAGCTTTAAACCTAGTCAGTGACTGATAAGGGAGATGGGAGAATAGGCTGTGGGGGGAAGCTAAGATGCCACAGCTCCCGTCAGTTCTCTATCCACGAGGAAGATGGGTTCTCTTCTGTTAGGGCCCTCAAATGCTTTTGTCCAGGTGAGCCTTGCTATGTACAGACAAAGCTGGCCACGTAACAAGGAAGGAGGGGAGAAGCAAAACAAGCTGTCCCTGTTTCTCTGAAGTTAGCTTTGTCGTCTCAGAACAGAGCATTAGTCACTGAATTAAGTCCCCAGGTGGCCCCGCTTCCCAGGAGTAACAGCGCTGGCAGGGCTGTGCAGAGGAAGAAACTGCCAACTTTTGTGGCTTTTTCTCTCCAGTGAAAGCCAGTCTGAACTGTTTGCACAACTTGAAGGAAGGTACCCAGTCTTTCCAAAATCAAACTCTCCCAGGTGGAGAGTTTGCCCCTTCGCTCCAAAGGGTACCTTTTGAGGTAACCTGTCCCACGTTTACACCCCAAACAGCACCCAGGGGGACCTTTCCAGGGGGGAAAAGCTACCTTCTCACAGAGCTGCTTCTCCTCCAGCTGCAAGAGCATGTCCAAGATGTAGGTCATGTGGGCCGGGCCGCTGAGCTCCAACATCTCCTCACTTAGCGCCACGCCGTCGGGCCACTCAGCCAGCAGCAGTGCGAGGACATGCCTGGCATAGAGGACTGCAGTGGCCTCGTTGACCCGGAGGAGGTGGCCCCGCACAGCTTTCTTGCCCCGGGAGTCCAGCTCCTTGTGCAGGAGGACCGAGCTCTTGCTGCGGCGCTGCTTGGCGAAGCTGAGCTGCAGGTCGCTCTCCGTGTGCGTGATGAGCTTCTGGGTGACAGGGCTGGATTCTTCGGTGGCTTTGTGGCAGGGGGCAGGTTTCGACTGCAAGGCAGAAGCAGGTGAGGTGGACCAGAATTATTTCACTTCAAAATCCAAGACTGCTCCCACCACAGGCTTTACGGCCAGGGGGACTCAACCCAAGAACCCTTCATCCGACACCCGAAACCTGAGGTCTCCAGGATGCCCAAGACCAGGGTTCTGTGAAGAATCCCACAGGGAGTGAAAAGCTAGAGATGTCTTCAGCTCAGCCTCATGGATTCCGTTCTGCCAGCCAAATGCTCGTGCCGATTTGATTGGTTATCAGCTGAGCTCTCACGTGAGCGTCCATTTTTTCAAAAATGGGCTGTGATCCGTCTAACTTTTTAAAAAGCTTGAACACGTGGCACAACACAGCCCTCTGCTTGCAAAATGTGCACACCTGCAGAAACTGCCACATCAAGGCCTGAACTTTGCACAAATTTGGAATTCGCTGTCAGAAAATTTGAGGTGGCCAAGGTGAAGGGTGCACATAGGATGTGAGAACAGGGTATTTTCGTACCTTTTATGTTAAACGATATGGCAAAAACAACTCAAATTTCAGTAGCTGCTCTTTCTTAGATTTGTGCAAATTTGCACAAACTGCGCCACACAGTTCTTATCTCCACATTTGCACAGGTATGCCACTGAGTCAGAAGTGTGTCAAAAGTCACTCACGCTCAAACAAGGGAGGTTTGGGAAGCTGGTGTTCAGAAGCAGAACTCCCTCCAAAGCCACCCCTACTGGGGTAAAAAGAGCAGTTTCGAAGTCTAGTCCCTCTTTTTCCTGTACTTAGTTTCTGGGGTGGTTTTGAAGCCCAATCCCACTTTTTCTTGTACTTAGCTTTTCTTTTTGTCACACCAGTTGCAACATTCACAACATTCCAAATGTATCTACTGACCCAAAGGGAAGCTTTTTCCTCAGTAGGACATATTGCTTCATCAACCCTATTGACAAATGTAGGGTTCTAACAAAAGGGTGAAAATATCAAAACAGCTCCCTAAATTGGATTTCCGACCTTATTTGTAAATGCCTCTTCTTCTGAGAACTGGGGATTCTGTACTCTGAACATACTGTATTCCTTGTTATGCACGTACCTGAGTACTTGAAAATATTTTTCTGTACAATACATTAAGATGGGCAGCGATGTGGGATTACAGGAAATGCATTTCAAAATATCTGGAGGATTGGGAAGGCTGCACTTAATGTCCCTCACATGCTGCATATGCAGAGCATTGTGAGAAATTCTGCTCGAGACATCCCCCTCACCAGGCACGGCATGATGATCATATCCGTATCCAGTGCTTTGGAATTCTGCTCCTCTGTCCGCAGTCGCTTACTGGGCTGCCACTTTTGAGCCAGTGTTCGAATCCGCTCATCTGTTGTGACCACATCACCGTCAAATCTTTTAAGAACACAAACAGATATTTTTAAGTTCAAAAGGCAGCAATTAAAAATGGCACCCACAAGGAGAGCTTCTCCCGTTTCTGCGCTCAGGTCCTACGCTTTGCATAGGGGGCTGGATCTGCTTAGGCAGCTTCCCTGTCTGTCGAAATTGGAATATATTCGTGGCAGATTAGCCGGTCACTTATGCCTTTCTGTTTTAACTGGCAAGAGGAAAATGAGAATAAAGCTAAGGCAGACAGCAGCCTAAACCTAGAGTTTTGAGATGATGTTGGGCTTACATCATCCCTGACTGCTGGCCATAATGGATTCTGGGAGCTGTAGTTCAACTCGACCTGGGCATGCTAGGCTGGAAAAGCCTGCTCAAAAAGAACGGATCTAGTTCTGCATTTTACAGGCCAGAGCCCCAGCCATTGTAGGACTATGACTCCCTTTGCCCTCAGCCTGCGTGGCCAGGCACTGAAGGTGGGATGGGAGTTGTAGGCCAACAACATATCCGGGGACCCTTACGTGGGGAAGTTGGCGGCCCGGCTCTCATGGAGGCCACCAGCGTGGCTCGGGGGCTGCACCGTGCCAGACCGGATGGCTGAATGCGCTGCTGAGAGACACAATTCCTTGAGGCAAGCTCAGCCCCAAATCTGCCAGCAGTTCATTTCTGACACACCCAATCCCCCCCTTGGCCAGTCTCTGCGGCTCTGAAAATGAGCCGGGGACTCTCCTCCAGTGCCCTGGCCCCTCTGGGCACCCGCAGGGCTTCTCTATCCCAGCCAGGACCAGGGACCCCGCCTACCTCTTCTGAACCTCCAGGAAGAAAGAATCGGTCCGTTTCATCTGCAACTCATACATGGCCCGGAGGATGTGCAGAGGCGCGTCCAGGGCATCGTGGGTCATCTGAAACACAGGTCGACTGAGATTAAGAAAGGGAAGGGAGAAGCCGTCCTGAGATTTTGTATAATAGGACGGCATAGAAACGCTTTTAATTAATTAATTGGGGTGCCCCCCTTCCTGCTCCTGAGAACTGTTAGGCTGCATCCATTAACTGCCTCTCTGGGTCACGCTGCAAAGATCCACGGCCCTGCAGGATCCCAGGTTCCAACTCTTTCGACACGTAAGTTAGGGCTGGCCCCAAACTCCTGCTGCCAGAGGGAGAGCAGCCAACAACAGCACCCACCCCAGTTCAAGATGCACGGCACCCAAAGTTCATCAACGATGATTAACTGCTCTGAATTGGCCAGACAGCTTCGGCTACTGGGCGGCACAGAAATAAAACAAGCAAACAGTTTTGGAATCTGAGCCTAAGACACCTCCACCTCCCGGCCTCCCAGAGAAGCAGCATCATCTTGCATCAAGATGAAATGTGGACACAGTCGAACAGAAATGAGCCCTGCAGCTCCCAGCATGCTCCAGGCCGACAGCCACATCTTCAAGATCTCATAATTTCCTGCCCTTCCTCACACCAGCTGCCTTGCTCTGCCTGGCCTGGCCTGTGTTACATGCTTCATGCTGGAATCGATCAATCTGTCTATTCTTGTGGAATTTGGGAAGACTGAGAAATAAAGTGGAGTCCCTTGCCGGCAAGGAGAGGGGATGGTTTGAAAAGCCAGAATAGCAGTGAGGCCGATGCTCCACGTTTTCTGCCTATGTGTGAAGCGCCATCTTCTTGCCACGCCTCCCGTCTTAAGGCCTCTCCCGCGCCACCATGGTAGCTGGAAACAATGCTCTCTTTATTAAAAGAAGAGCCCGCTGCTACAGGGCCGCGCAATGCAAGCGCATGTGCCGCACTGCTGGCTGCTACTGCTGCCTGGCCCATTCCCGCCCCACCACCGTGAGCACCACGGAGTACCAGGAAGCAGATCTTGGTGGTTTCGTCCAAGCCTTCCAGCGGGTCGAGCCTGCTCTGCTCCACGTCGGTGGGAGTGACATCGGACTGGTCGCGAGCTGGATCCTGGTCTCCTTCGTCGAGGGCGGAGTCCTTGTGCTCAGCCTGGGAGCTGATCTCCCGTTTGGAGGAGAAGAGCATGATGGACAAGATCTGCCGAGAGGAGCACAGAAAGGAAGGTGTGGCTTGACTACAGAGTGGGAGCTACTCCAGTTCAACAGCCTTGGGTCGACCAGGGATCGTCCCCCACCAGTCTTTTGAAATCACGACCTGCCTTTCTCTTGAAAATTTCTGGTGACTGTCGTTTCTGCTTCACAATTTGGAAGGGCAAGAGCAAGTTGCAAGACCCTAAGATGGCAAGGGCTGTGCTGGATTAGATGGGACTTGCCACCTGCCACATCTGGAAAGCACCAGGTTGAGGAAGGCTGTCCCATGAAACGGTGTGCGCAGTTGCCACAACTAGGCCTCACGCCACATGGCAAAGCCCACATGTGTGAGGCACAGAGACCATGACGAAGAAGCACCTGTTACGTTCTTTAAGCTTTTTTAAGCAGTTCAACAACAGGATTATATAATCTAACATGTAAATCATATAAATGGCACTTTAATTTCTTCCCTCAGTATTTCAGGTCAAATGCTTGTGGAGCTTTGGGACGGAGGATTAACAAGAGGTGCTTTTTGTTGTTCACTAAGCAGAAGTAAAATAAACATGCTGAATTATGAGAGCAATCCAGCCAAGAGGCCCACAAGCCTCTGCATCCACCTCTGTTTCTCCCCCTCTCCTGCTCTGCAGTTTGGCCACGTTTGGCGCGGAAACGACGCCTCCTTTGCTTCTGTACACCTGATGTTTTCTGCTATATTTTAGGTGTCGGAGGGGGCTTCTTCCGCTTTGTCCTGCGATGGCACACAAAGGAACCTAGGCTGGATTTACCAAGCAGGTCTCCCACTAGGGTGCTGACAGAAATGCAAGGCAGACCTGGGGGTTCCCAACCTCAGAGGCATACTTTTTCCTTGGCAGAGGCACAAACAGAATAACTGAAGCTGCACAAAGAAAATGAAACTGCATGGATTACAGGGGGCTCCGGATGAAGCACCGAGCGGGGGCACTGGATGAGTTTAAGTGTGGGGAAGCCCCTGCCCAGCTGACTTGGGCAAGCCGTTCTGTTACCTCTAAGTCCCGGAGGAGCCAGGTTTTACTGAAGCCCGTTCCTTTGCTGCACTTCTTCACCAGCAGCTTAAGCAAACCCGTCCGCAGAAAGGCCACGCGGATCTCTTCAAAGGCATGTGCCTGTCAGGCAGAGGGAAACAGTCACAGTTCAAACTTGGCATGTCACGGACAGGATGCGAGGACAGGGGATGCTCATCAGCCTTCCCCCAGTGGGCTTCCTCCCAATGTGCTGGACTACAACACCCAGCATCCCCACCCAGCACACCTGCAGGACACCGTGGCATACAACCGAGAGGATACCGCAAGCTTAGGACACAATGTCCGAATTACAGCCCCTGAACACCGACTCTGATGAGGAGGGCGGCAGAGGAGGAGGGCACTGGGGAAGCGAGGGGGCTTGTTCGGAAGGTGAGGCTCCAGCTGCCCCTGCCTGTCTCGCCGACCCGAGCCTGCCACCCAGCTCCCTTTGGCAGCCCGCCTGTGGGCCCAGTGGGCTCAATATAAGGCTGAAAAGGCACATCAACACTCTCCCTGCTACACCAGAGGACGGCCATGCACCCTGTTCTCCCTGCCAAGCTCCCCTACGCAGAACCCCGGCACGGCCTGCCATGGCTTCTGCCCCTACCTCTGGAGCTCAGCTGGCGAGGAAGCAGAAACGTGACCGACTAGGTAGCTTCCGCTCCCTCATCCTCCAGAGCGCCGCCAAATTCCTGCTTCCTTGCCAGGGCTTCTGGGGTGACATAGGAGCAGGCAGTGGGAAGCAGCCTGGATCTTTTTATTTAATCAATATTTTAATATGTTTTAATATTGAATTTTATTGTTGTATTTTATTTTGTGCAGCCAGTGTGGATGGTTGATTTTTTATGTTGTAAGCCGTCCAGAGACGCAAGTAATTGGACGGAATACAAATTTTATAAATACATTAAAAAAATCTTCCAGAATTCCCTCTGGCCACTACTGCCAGCACCCATGCTGAGGGAAGCCCAGGACTGAAGCCACACGGAAAGACCGGCTGGGAGTGAGAGGCAGAGGGCGGAAATGTCAGAATCCATGTGTGCGCTGGGGGTGGGTGGCTTCCAACAGCTTCTGTCTGGCCAGGCCATCCACCTTATGGACATTTGACGTCAAATGACCCCGTGGGCCCCCAAAGGCCGCCTGCACCCGGGGTGCACCATCCCGTACCTTCAGCGTCTTGTACAGGCCCTTCAAGGCAAGCGATAAGACCCAGGTGGCCTCGACGGCTTCTGCAAAGCAGCCGCTGACGCTGGCCTGGAGAAGGTGGCTCGCGATGAACACGAAGTGCTGCAGGTACTGGCGCAGCTGGCCCTGCGACGCCTCCTCGTCTCGCCCGCAGGACTGAACCAACTGCAGGTCCTTCACTGGAAAGCAGAGAGGAGCATGCTTGACTCCCTCGGGATTCTGGCCAGGCTCGTGACTGTTGGCCCGAGCGGCACATTATCAGACCACAGTTCTGGCTCCTGTGAAACGTTTTCTGTCCATGGACAACACACTGAGCCTACACCCAAGGCGATCCCGTGGAAATCGGCCAAGCTGGGCTCACCGCAGGAAGAGCAGGCAGCTTGGCAGAGATCTGGCCTCAGAAACTTCCACCCTGCCGCCCCCACACCGAAGTCTCCACAACACCTCTTCTGCCATGAGTGGCTCTCGCCCTTCCCCCAACCCAGCTCTGGAACACTGCCCAGAGAAGCATGAGTCGAAGGCCAAGCTGGGAAGGGCCAGCCCCAGGAAGATGCACCGAGTTCTGCGTTCCCAACACTTTCCAGGCTACTAGTTCTGATGGCTCTGGGCTAGCTCCAGGATCAGGCTGCTGTGCACACTTGGGCAGGATGGTGCACTTGGCCACTCACCCGAGGCATTTTGGCCCATCTTTGAGCAGAGCGCCAGACAGGACGGGCCCTTGGCTGGATCCAGCGTCAGAGTGCTCTGGATGTCCCTGCAGACTGGAGGGACTGATCGGGGTGGCTTCTGAAGGACAACTGTGGCTCAAGATTAGTGGCCTAAAAGAAAGGCCCAGCGCCACAGACACACACTTACACGGCACACAGCGAGTGAGCGAGAACACGCGCGAGTCGGTCTCAAAACAAACGTGCCTCACAAATCCTGCCCTTGCAGTGACGGGGCGGTGCTGAGCAGAGTGGGAGAGCAGACACACACACCTGTTTTCCTCTTCCGGGTTTTAACATCCACAACCACTGCCCTGTTCTTCTCTGTGAAATGCTTGAGGATGATCACGTCATGTGCCTCGTTGGCATTATCCATGTAGACCGATCTGGTTCCCGTGCACAGGACCTGTGGCGGCCCGAAGAGAAGCATGCAGGCCACACGTTCACAACCCTCAGGGGATACAGCTGCCTCCCCGGCCTGCCTCCCCGGCCCAGCGCACTGCTCCTTCGCGGCAAATGAGCACACACTTCAGAAGCTGTTCTGGCAGAGCAAGCCCCTGGTTCGCACACTCACCTCTGGGAACCCGACAAGCACCAGGAGAGTGAAGATGTTGGTGTGCTTCAGCTGGAAGGGCAGCTGCTTGATGCAGTGGTCCGTGAACGCGGCAACCACTTCGTGCCACTGCGGGGAGGCGTTCAGCGCTCGAAGGATGTCGGCCATCGTGCAGGCCCAGTCCAGGCCCACGCGGCTGAAAGGCAAGGGTCAGAATTCGGGGCTCAGCCAGTGGCACAGTAAGGGCACTCAAGGGATGCAGCGAGGCATCCTCTGAGCCAAAGATGACTGCCAAGGGCAGCGCAGCACAGCGGGCACCTGTCTTGATGCATGTCGAAGGACTGCTTTACCCTTGACATTCTAATGGGCCGGTTTTGGCAAACTTTACTGCTAAATGTCCTAAGAGTCCTTTTGCAACAGGAGGAATGTTCAGAAATATTTTGCATTCTGTGCGATTATTTTTGAAATGGACTGCCGTTTTGTGGCAGACTTGCTGATGGATGCATGCGTGCGCTCATGCATGCGTGCGCAGGGAGTGAATGGAGGGAGCAAGAAGAGTTTCGAGTACGGGGAAAAACACACCTGTCCAAGCAGAGGGCTCCCAAACTGAAGAGCAGGTGGGTCGTTTTCCAGCCCCCTGGCATAGGGGTGCCATCCCCGGTGGCAACCAAGCTGTGCTTTGCGGAGAGGACCTTGGAGACGGCCTCGTCGACTTCTGGGGGGGTCAGCCTCCGAATCAGCTGCCCGAGAAGCCCCAGGGTCAAGTGGTAAGTTTCATTCAGGTGGCCAGCGTTGGAGACAACCACTTCAATCATGAGGGGGAGGATCTTATCCAGGTTAATTAGAGACATTGTTGAGCCCTGTGGAGAGAAAACTGGGCTGGTGAGGTGGCGCCCCCCACCCCCGTTTCTGCCTACATATTTCAGGGCTCGTCTTCTCAAAGAAACAGAGGTTTGCATTTTTGTTTTTGAATGCACAGCAGAGGCTCCTGAGATGCCCAGGGCCAGGGACTCATTCCACCTCAGCAGAGAGCAACTGGGGAGTGGCCAGTTACACACAGCCTTGTCTGGGAAAAGCTTCCCTTCATCTAACCCAAAGAGCAGAGCAGCTGAAATGAAGGGGACTTGGGTCAGATATGAGTCACTTAAGCCCCATTCACTGGGATGAACTCTACATGGGGCTAATATTGGCTTCTGAACAAGCAGTGGATTTACCTTGCACTAACTTACTTGCATGTAAATCTAGTTTCCGTAATGTCGCCAAGGATTCAGAAGCCTTTGACCACAGGTGGGATGACGTCATGAGGCACAGCCAACAGCTTTCTCTCCAACTGCTAGTTTGAGTGCTGCTGGCAAGACTAAAATCTGAAACACGCTTTGCCTCCTGGGTTCTGGTATCCTCTTCCCCGTGAGCTCACCACGGGAGAAGCAGTAACAGAAGCTCTGGCTGGATCGTGCTCCAATGGACTCCTGATTTGCTTTGATCTGCCTGGCCCTGCACCAGTTCCACGGATATCACACCAGAACAGAATACACCTGATTCGGCTTGGGCCGACGCTACCTGTGGCTTTCATTTTAAGCAGGCAGCTGCTTTATACATTGGAACTAGGCATTCCGTGCGCATTTTGTTCAGTGGCCGCCCAGGAGCCGTGTTTAATGCTGTGTTATTGTCTTGGAAGTGGCACATTCAGCAAGCACCTTTCCCGATACATGCTCGGCTGACATTTAAGATCTTTTTTGATTTGCGAGAGCAGGCCGTGCTGGCCATTCCAAAATTAACACAATGCGCACTGTGCTATGTACGGTGCAATACCTAAATGACAGGCCTTTTCGATAATAGCACCCGGCTCTTAGAAACCCACTCTCCTGCAATTTGAGAGGCTTAAAACACAGTGTATTTCACATCTTTCCAGGAAATTCTCCTGTTCACCCAGGTTTTCCCTGGCTTGTAATTAAGCCAAGCAACCTGTGTCATTGTATTGCTCCTGTACTGCTCTGGATGACTAACGAAATGGCTTCAATATGTTTTTAATTGTATTTTAGATGCAGTTTTACTGTTTGTATGTGAATCGCTTTGGAGTTTTATTATATCTTGCCAAAACCAAAATAACTAAAGAAGAAAGTAAAATTAATAATGAGTAAGTATAATATTTAAAGGCAAAGTGAATATTCAAGCTTCTGTTTTGAGGTTCTCTAGGGGGAGAACTTGGGCCACCTCGCCCGTGTGGAGTCCGGAGCGATGTTGGCTCCTTGTTGCAGCTGCTCTGCTCTCTCCTGGCAGGGCCACATGAGAAAAAGAGCTGTGACTGCAAAACTGACCTCCACAGACTGAATTTGCCAAGGAAGGTATGTTCTACGAGCTCTGCTACAGACAAGGACAGGCCTGGAGCAGGGTGTTCCCTGCACAGGGCGGGGGGCGGCCGTGTGCACAGACTGTGGCCACTGCTGAAGCAGTCGGCCCCAGCAAGCAACCTGCGCAGGGATCCCTCTGCCCAGCGACCCCGGGTCTCGCAAAGATCCGTACCGATTTCAAGCGCGGCAGCACGGCAGCCAGCAGGCCAAGAATCCTCTTCTGGGAACATTCAGCAAAGACCTCCTCCTGAGTAGGCACTGCCTCTCCATCAGCTTGATTGGGTGACAAAACACCCACCACTTCAGCATCTGTAAGGCAACCCCCACCGAGACAGAATTAGTGTTACTGCTGACATGTTCAGTAATGCTCCCTCCCTCCGTCGTGGATTTGCAGCCTGTAATAGGCAGGTCACATTTCCTCCCCACGTCTTCTGCACAGTTCAGCGCAACAGCAGGCGACCTGACGCCCTCCCACGAGCCCCAATGGTGAGGGATCCGGGGGTAGTCACCCATCCTGGACAGCAGCAGATAGGGCCTCTCCCTGCTCTAGTGAGATGGCGGAGACCAAAGTTTATATACGGAGAACTGCGATTTGGGGGCTGGGCTGGGCTGTGTAGAACCTTAAGGGGAGCACGCCAGCGACGCACGCAAGCACACCCTCTCAATGCACACAGTCTGCCCCCTCCTCTTTGGCACAACACACACACACCGTGACGTCTGAAGCACGCGAGCCCCAATAGCTTCAGCACTGCAGATGATGAACCAACGTACAGGAGAGTTTGTAAGAGTTTTCCACATGCACTTCTTGTGCTCACATTGAAAAGGGCCCTTTTCAAAATACTCCTGTTCACACATTTAGGAGGGGTTTAGAACAGGGACTGAAAGAAAGCAGATCTCCAGATATTTTGGATATCAGCTTCCAGCATTCCTGACTTATGGCTTTGACAGCAGAGGCTTCTGGGAGGTGAAGTTCAAAACATCTGGAGATCTACCATTTGTTCAGCCCTGGATTAGTCAATCCTCCAAGCCTGGATGAGTTTAGCCCACCTCGGGGGAGCGCAAGTGAGATCGAAGTCCATCTTGCATTTCTCACACAGCTAAACTTCCGGTGTGCAGCTCAGCACTGACCACCTTGCTGTAATGTAATGTTCAGCTTGGCAGACTTTAATATGGTAAAAACCAGTCTGATATGTGCTGCCCAGCAATTATCCACAGTTATTTGCGTTCAACAAACTGGCTTCTCCACATTTAAAATCAAATTCCATTTGCAAGCCTTTAGGCAAAGACTATCTTGCTCTAATCTGCGTGCAGCAAGCGAATAAACGTTACGCAATTGGGAAATGACTGATAGCTAAGAGTAGCTATGGAAACGAATATATAAATCCAAGCTAGCCATACATTGCCCTGGAAGAACTGTGTGTAAAAGAGAGAACAAAAACAAAATAGAAGTGACTCATACTTTCATGAACAATTTCAAAAATCCTCTTTACCTGGAGACATGCCATCTTTTGCAAGCAAGCCTGAATTCAAAGCAGGTGCTTCTCTCTCTTTTGACACTTCTTTCTCTTGTGCAAATCTACTGGAAAGCACACCCTCTGCTTTCAGTCTGTGCTCCGGTTTGGTGTTGAGAGAGGCCTGCGTTGCTTCCGTATCTCCATCACCCTAGGAATGAATGGCAAACTCATGTTGCAATGCTATTCTTAGGCAGAATGCTACCCCATTACCAGAACAAGATGGTCCAATCACTGCAGTGTTTACTGGCCTGTCCCACTGTTTATCTATCAATAAGATCATTCCTAGCATCGGAACCAGACACCTCCCTTCCTGGTCTCCCAAGAAACATATGGAGAGATATAAAACTTTGGAAATGCTGCAGCCATAAAACAGACATTTTATCATTTTCTTCCAGGGGAAAAAAATGAACATTTTTAGAAAACTGAAAATGCTCCTCACAGATCTAAGTTTTTTTTAAAAAAACCTTTAACGCATAAAACGCATTATGAGAAACCTGGCTTGCTCCTTCAATAAGCATAGAAGTTAAAGATAAACAGTTAGGGCATTTAAAAGTATGTTTTTCAGATAATTAGAAAAGTAATATAGCAAAACGGACAATTTTCTGAGGAATCAAGTTATTACATAGTGCATCTTAAGTTCCTATTTAATGTTTGCTCAGATGGAACGCCAACTAGCAAGGCCCAAAACATGGGAGTGATCCTTGAAGTGGGAAAAGCTGAAGGCTAAGAAAAAGTCCCATGTAAGACTACTTGGGGTAGAGTTTAGGGAATCCTGATCTCCAGCAATAGCAACTGAGAGTTTGTTTAGCTGAGAAATAGTCTCGCCCCCGTTAAGAATGGCAACCAAGCATCCGTAATTTAAGAATCATTACGCAATATCAATCTATTATTTGAAAAATAGCATTTCCCATTCATATAAATTTTAATAATTGATAGTTTTGGAAGCTTGTTGCTAGCAGCGGTGTTGGTCCCATCCTTACATCATAAGGATCAAGGTGATTTTAGGTATAAGGGCTTATTTTGATGGTAGCAATTAAAAGCAAACAGCTGAGAGAACTTTCCCAAATGGCAAGGAATTATATAAAATAAAGCAGTGCACCAGTGAGTTCCACAGACCCCAAACCTGCTGCTACTGCTTGTTGTTGACAGCACTATAATAAAATATTTTGAAAAGTAATTACATTGCAAAGCGTGAACTGCGTAGAGGCCGCCTTAATCGCTCCCACAGCATCTTTACGAGAGTGGCTTTCTACACCACTGTCCGCACAAGGATCAACAGGCGGCTTCATACTGTCACATAAAGATTCATCTTCTGGCAACATGCATAGCAGAGCAAGACTTTTCGAACCTGGGCGTGGGGAACAAAAGAGAAGACATTCATTCGGGATGTGAACTCTCAAAATGTTAAACTTGTACTTGGGCTGGATGATGGGGACAAAGGGGAGAGAGAGCAGTTAGACACTCGTTAGAATTTCTAAGGGGAAACCGTGGAGCTGTGGGCTACGGAAAAACCAATGCTCACACAATGCCGAAACCCTCAACCAGTAGCGAGCTGGGCCCAAGCTCCAGATTATAAAGGTGTGCCTCCTCCATCTTCAAGCCCTCTTCGTCCTGCCAGCTAATGTTCCATTACAGAGGCATGTGGGGGAACAGAATCCAAAGTAACGGGGCTTCCCGGCATCCCACTCTACTGCCAGCTCCCCACCCCGCTGACAAAGGCAAATCGGGGTGGGGGAGTGACAGGCAGGACTGGAGGTTTGGCTTTCTCCCAGAACAGCACACACACACCCTAGAGGGACAGCTCACCCATCAGTACCCAGGATTAGGCTCCCTGTGGCAAAAATGGCAATCAAAGGGGGCAACCAACCGCTCAAGAGCAACAGGCCTCCTAGCAGCGCACTGAGCAGTCAGCCAGCGCCGCATCCAGAAGCGCTTCCTCTGGCTCGGAAGGGAAGTAGGGGCACCGCTTCGTGTCGATTCCCAGGCCCCCTTTCTGCAATCCCAAGACCCACCTAGTGGATGTGGGTGCAGCATGCCCTGATCCAGGCAAGGAGGTGTACACAAAGCGCCAAAGAGCTGCCGCGCACATCGAGCTCCGAGTACACGGCAAGCCCAGGGATCTCTGATCAGCGCCAGAGATGCGCTCGCAAGCCCCTTTGCACAAAGGCTGCTCCTGGCAAGGGCGACTTTCTACATGCTGCAATTCTTAGGTGACTGGGACTCGGAAAACCTTTGACCTCCTCCTGCAGGTCTCCTGAAGCCTGTGCCTTTCAAATGTGCTGGCCTTCAACTCCGATAGCCCCCGCAGTCAGCACAGGGCCGGGGGGCTGCTATGGGCATTGCAGCCCAGCACATCTGAAGGGCAAACCACCAGCAGACCTGATTCTGCTCATCTCTGCCCTCCTGTTGGGCATTTAGAGGGTTGAAGATGAGGAAGATCTGGCGTGCACAGGCCATGCACACAGGCGAAGGCCACCAGAACAGAAGTTCTTCTGGGCTGCTGAGATTCCCAATTGTGGAACAGAGCAGCTCTCCAGAAGAAAAGCACCCTCTCCCCAGTTTGGATCGAGCAGCGAGTGGCCCTGGGCTCACGAAGGCAGGGTGCCCCGGCTCACCTTTTCCATGCTGCACTTTCATGAGGCAGTCCCCGATGAGCCGGACGCACTCCTGCTGCAAGGCCCGGGCGTGAGAGATGGCCTGGGGGCTGAGCGGCTCACCGTCCACCTGCTCGCCACTGGACAGGTCGGCACTGTAGAGAGCCAAGGTGGAGAAGAGCAGCCAGGAGTAGTTGTGGAGGTACGGCTGGATGAGCCTGTGCCGGTCACTGATCCGAACGGCTGTCATGGGGTGCACGGTGATGCTGTGCGTGGGCAAGTGGCTGCAAAGGAGACAGACGGGCTTCCGGTGAGAATGCTTCTTTTCGACCTACGTTCTGCCAATTTTTTTATATTGTGATGTATTTTCAATGGTGTTTGAATGGATTGTTGTAAACTGCCCAGAGAGTTTCAGCTGTTGGGTGGCAGAGAAGTTAAATACAATAAATACGTAAATAAATAAATGTCCATTAGTGGGGTTTTTTGGAGGAATTATTATACAGATAGCGTTTCTACAGGAGCAGTCTTTAATACTCACTGATGATGCATGGAATGATCAGCTCAAGTTACGACAACCCACGTTCAGGGTTGATATCAACCCTTTCTCAGTGTCACAGCAATGTGACAATGGAACCAGCTGCCCAGAGGGGGCATGGGTGTCCTGGAGGGGGTTGGACCTAATGGCCTCCTTGGCCCTTTCCAACCCTACTATTCCATGATTCTATGAAATTTAAAATTCAAATTATCAATTATTTTAATATTCATTAAATTATATTCTTTACCTGAAGTTAAGAAATGGAAGGGCAAATTGATTTTCTCCGTCCTCTGCACACCTAAAAGGCTGATTGTCAGAACGTTGCTTTGAGAAGCACTTGCCTCTCGTAAGGCAATAGCAAACCTGGGAAGAGTTGCCACTGCATCAAAGTGGCAAGCAGGAGACTGTCCAGCTACCAAAGACTAGAGAAATAAGCTAGCTGAGAATGAAGCTATGGGCAAGCGAACTACTTACGTAAGTAGAAGACCTGCCAAAGAATTTAAGGAGCTGCACAGATAGGAGACCCAGGAAAGTGGCTCAGTCCTTCCCCAACTGGGTGCCCTCCAGATGTTGTGGGCATCCCCCTGAGCAGCCCTAATCAGCACAGCCAAAGCTCAGGAATGCTGGCGCAGCGGTCCGACACACCTGAGGACACCGCTGGGGGAAGGGCACCACGGAGGAGAGGCGCTGCGTATGACCAGCTTGCATGTCCCAGGAGGAGGCGGCGCAGTACCTGTCGGGGTATTTCTTTGTAGAGTAACACCCAAAGCAGAGGTCGAAATCTTCACACACGTTGCAGTGTATGCGCTGGCCAACGATGATGCCCTGGCAGTGGTTGCAGGCATACTCCATGTTCACCATGTCGTGGCCGGCCTCGTGGCCTTCGGGTCGCACTCCGCCTGCGTGTCAGGAGGTGCCATGCGTCAGTCTCCCTCCCTGAGCCGCCAAGGATTCCCCACTCCCATTTTGCAAAAACTGCAGTGGGAGGGGGGATTCAAAGCTGTTTTTCTCTCCTGGGGAAGCTCCTCCAGATGAGAACCCCTCAGAATTTCACACAGTTTCCTCGCCTACACTACAGGTGGACAACTCACGGCCCTCCAGATGTTCTGACCCACGATTCCTCTCTCAGCCTTAGGCAGCATGGCCGTTGCAGGCCGTGACACACAGAGATCAGAAATTGTCCACCCCTGTTCTATAGACCCCAACACTCCACTGCAGGGCTGTACTTCCCAACTATACATTTGCCACCATCCATGAAGTGCACGGATAACATTGTTCACGTCAAAATCCGGAAAGCTGCTACAAAAACCCTATGAGAATACCTCCTTGAAAGTTTACACTAAACCACATGCAGTTGCATCCAAACTGTTACTTAGAGGAGGCCAAATGTATCTTGGAAGAAACGATGGCATTTCTAGCAACTGAACTCACCCAAAAAACAGGTTTTACAAAGATCCATATCGTTGCACTGCAAACAGCGGTAACGGTGCCAAGGCGCGATCTCGTCACAGCCGTCGCACGATATGTCCACATGCAGCAGATCACAGTAGCGGGCAATGAACATGTGCATCTGAAAATGGGAGACACAGATAAGGCTTTCCTGAGCTGCCCTGTGCCAAAGCGTGGGCTGAACAATAAGCGGTGTTCACTGGGCTGTGCCTGACAAAGGCTCAGCTCAAGGAAGGCTGGGCTTCAAAGCTCCTCAGGGCTGGCAGTGGAACAGAGTTGGGAAGGCGCCTGGCTCAACAGGAAACAGCTGGTGGGTGGGGCAGGGGTGCTTGGTAAGACCCTTCGGGTTTCACAAAAGGGAGCCAAAGCCTGGGATCGCTTCTCGGAAATCAATTCGTCCTTTGCCGTGTGTGTGATCCCAGTTAACGCCGCACGGAACCCGGCTTGGTCCCTGACGAAAGGCAGTGTGTCTGGGGGCCAACTCAAGAGGTGACCGTTCTCAGGGATGCCACAAGTAGATGCAAATTTTCCTGGCAGGACCCAGACTGGCCGTGCACTTCCATTCTCTCCCGCTGGAAGCCAGTGGCGTGAGTCACTCGTGGGGCCAGCCTTCCCAACTATTTGTCCTCTAGTAGTGCTGGGATGCAGCA